CCAATAACGCTCCGATGAGCATTTACTACTTTTAAAAAATGCGTCCAGGAAGCGGGTCGGGTACAATATTCTTTTACTTTTTTTTGCGGTCCGAGTTGCGGGCGGGTAGTTGAAAACGTCGGTCGGTTACGGTTTGTTTATACATTGACCCGCGCATCACTGATATCTAAGTACAATTAGTCAACCGAAAATTCAAGCCCTATTAGATCAATTCCTTGCCACTCCTTTCCCGCACAATAGTGAAGGTACAAACCTAGCAGTAGACAAGCTGAACAGAATATTTGAGGTATCAGCAACCTTATCCAACTTGACCACATGCCACTGAGAAATGGTTTGACAATGACTGCAAAAAAGTTAGGAAAGAATTAAGAACCCTATCCAACCAGAAACACAGAGATGCTGAACATCCGTCATCTCTATCACGAAAAACTTAAAAAATATAGGAATACTTTAAGAAAGAAAAAAGGAACAAAACACAAAAAATCAACTCAGGGAAATTGAAGAATCCTTAGAATCCAACCAGTTCTGGAAACATTGGAACACACTAAACAAATCCTACTATCCAGAACTAGCTATCCAGAATGGAGATGTTTGGATTAAACACTTCTCCAACCTCTTTAATAATGTAAACAAAAATCTGGAACAAAATGCCCTGTATGACAAACTAACGGTTTTAGAATCAACTATCAAAGACTACGAGAACCCCTTAGACTCCCCAATTACATTAACCGAACTATTAGACAAAATCCAAACCCTGAAATTGCAAAAAGCCTGTGGTGTCGATGGCATCCTAAATGAAATGATTAAATACACAGACCACAAATTGAAATTAGCCATTCTCAAGCTTTTCAATTTCATCCTAAATTTAGGTATATTCCCCAACATTTGGAATAAAGGTCTTATTACCCCAATCTATAAAAACGGAGACAGATTTGACCCTAATAACTACCGTGGTATATGTGTAAAGCAGACTAGCCCATTTTCTCAGAGACAGAAATGTCCTGAGCAAGTGTCAAATTGGCTTCCAACCAAATTATCGCACAGACCATATACACTCACCGGCCACTTTATTAGGTACACCTGTCCAACTGCTCGTTAACACTTAATTTCTAAGCAGCCAATCACATGGCGGCAACTCAGTGCATTTAGGCATGTAGACATGGTCAAGACAATCTCCTGCAGTTCAAACCGAGCATCAGTATGGGGAAGAAAGGTGATTTGAGTGACTTTGAACGTGGCATGATTGTTGGTGCCAGAAGGGCTGGTCTGAGTATTTCAGAAACTGCTAATCTACTGGGATTTTCACGTACAACCATCTCTAGGGTTTACAGAGAATGGTCCGAAAAAGAAAAAACATCCAGTGAGCGGCAGTTCTGTGGGCGGAAATGCCTTGTTGATGCCAGAGGTCAGAGGAGAATGGCCAGACTGGTTCGAGCTGATAGAAGGGCAACAGTGACTCAAATAACCACCCGTTACAACCAAGGTGGGCAGAAGAGCATCTCTGAACGCACAGTACGTCGAACTTTGAGGCAGATGGGCTACAGCAGCAGAAGACCACACCGGGTGCCACTCCTTTCAGCTAAGAACAGGAAACTGAGGCTACAATTTGCACAAGCTCATCGCAATTGGACAATAGAAGATTGGAAAAACGTTGCCTGGTCTGATGAGTCTCTATTTCTGCTGCGACATTCGGATGGTAGGGTCAGAATTTGGCGTCTACAACATGAAAGCATGGATCCATCCTGCCTTGTATCAACGGTTCAGGCTGGTGGTGGTGGTGTCATGGTGTGGGGAATATTTTCTTGGCACTCTTTGGCCCCTTGGTACCAATTGAGCATCGTTGCAACGCCACAGCCTACCTGAGTATTGTTGCTGACCATGTCCATCCCTTTATGACCACAATGTACCCAACTTCTGATGGCTACTTTCAGCAGGATAATGCGCCATGTCATAAAGCTGGAATCATCTCAGACTGGTTTCTTGAACATGACAATGAGTTCGCTGTACTCAAATGGCCTCCACAGTCACCAGATCTCAATCCAATAGAGCATCTTTGGGATGTGGTGGAACGGGAGATTCGCATCATGGATGTGCAGCCGACAAATCTGCGGCAACTGTGTGATGCCATCATGTCAATATGGACCAAACTCCCTGAGGAATGCTTCCAGCACCTTGTTGAATCTATGCCATGAAGAATTGAGGCAGTTCTGAAGGCAAAAGGGGGTCCAACCCGTTACTAGCATGGGGTACCTAATAAAGTGGCCGGTGAGTGTATACTCTCTCCATACCTTAGTCGATAAACAAATTAATGAAAACAAAGGAAAAATTTTCTCATGCTTTGTTGACTTCAAAAAAAGCTTTTGACTCCATTTGGCATGAAGGTCTTTTTCTTCAATTAATTAAGTGTGGCATTGGAGGAAAAACATATGACATCATCAAATCAATGTACACAAACAACAAATTTGCAGTTAAAATTGATAGCAAACACACAGAATTCCTCCCTCAGAGTCGTGGAGTGAGACAGGGCTGCAGCTTAAGTCCCATACTGTTCAACACCTATATAAATGAGCTAGCGAGAGCTCTGGATCAGTCTGGAGCACCTGGCCTTACTCTACTGGACACTGAAGTCAGATGCCTTCTGTTTGCCGATGATGGCTTCTGGTGCTGCTGTCTCCCACTAAAGAGGGTCTACAGCCGCATCTAGACCTCCTGCACAACTTCTGTCAGTCATGGGCCCTGGCAGTTAACCACAAAGAGACTAAAATAATGATTTTCAAAAAAAGACCCAGCCGCCAAGACCAGCATCATAGTTTTAAATTGGACAACATGCTCATCGAACACACCCAGGACTACACTTACCTTGACATAAATATTAGCAACACAGGAAATTTTAAAAAAGCTGTTAACAACTTGAGAGACAAGGCACTGAGAGCTTTTTATGCTATCCAGAGAAATATCCAAATTGACATCCCAATCAGAATCTGGCTAAAAATAATCAAAACCGTAATAGAGCCCATCGCGCTGTACGGGTGTGAAGTCTGGGATCCACTCACAGACCAAGAGTTCACTAAATGGGACAAACATCCATAAGAGACTCTGCAGACCGAGCTGTGCAAAATCTTGCTACGTGTTCAGCGCAAAATCCCAAATAATGCCTGTAGAGCAGAATTAGGATTATACCCTCTTATAATTACCATTCAAAAAAGAGCCATTAAATTCCATGCCCACTTAAAAAATAGCGATGAACAGACCCTCCATCACAAAGCCCTGACCTACCAAGAGCTGAAGCCAGAGAAGAACGCCCTAGGCCGATTGGTCTTAGAGCTCACGTCACAAACGGACAGTAAAAACATAGTAACCCCAAACCAAATAACTAAAACACAAAAAGAAAAATACTTCAAACATTGGACAGACGCAACAGCCAGACAGAGTAAACTGGAATGCTATTTGGCCCTAAACAGAACATATGAATTGGCAGGATACCTGAGTACAGTGAGCAACCCGAAACTGAGGAAAGTCCTGAGCATGTACAGACTCAGTGAACACAGTCTGAGCATCGAGACAGGCAGACACAGGCAGACCTGGCTGCCGAAGGAAGAGCGACTGTGCCCTCACTGCACAGAGAACCAAGTGGAGACAGAGCTTCACTTTTTGACATCCTGCCCCAAATATGCAAACATTAGAAACACTTTCTATCCCCTTTTCACAACCTACCAGAAAGAATTCCATCAGAAATGTAATATGGTAATATGGATAAACTTCCACTCCTGCTAGGAGAAAGCCCAGCGAGCTCTAACCTGGCTGCCAGATACGTGAGGTCCTGTCACGAAGAAAGAGCCTCCAGCAGGACAGAGACTACAAACTACACGCCTAGAGACACTGTGTAAATATTAGTAGATGAACTTTTTATTGCAATGTTTATCTCCACGTAAAAAAAAACAAAAAAAACTTCTACTTTATTTTTATTTATTTTTATAACTATTTACTTATTTATAATCTATAGTGTTATGAATGCTTTGGCAATGTAAAGATTTCTTTAACCATGCGAATAAAGCTATTTGAATCTTAATGCAATCTAAACAAATCAATTACATTAAAAACAAACATGCAGGTTATCTTACCTCAAATATCAAGTCTTCACTACAGAACATGGCCATTCGTATTTCCAATAGTTTCCAACAGACTCATGAAACTAAAGTCCAATCAAACAAAAAAACAACAAGACAGCCTCCTAACAATGGCTAAAAACAGTCTCTTACAGAGCATCGTGAAGAAAAAGCACAGCATCCACTGTGGAAGGTTTTAATCCAATTGTACTTTTTCCAGCTGCACTGAAGTCACGCTCACTACTTCTGCTGCTGGCGGGACACTAAACACAGAACGAACCGGTTGTGCGGATCGCGCCGCCGGGAAACCTGTGTGTGGGTGAGCAGACTGTCAGTCATATGTCAGTGTGACAGCTTATAAAACGTCTTTCAATGTTTGCTTTTCAATAGTCATCTTCTCATATTTTATTCTAATTAATATCTGGGCTATAAAAAGGATAAGCCTAAAACAGACCAGAGGCCCGGCCTGTATGTGAACTGTGACATGAAAATTTGCCCGAAGCCCGGCCCTAGGAATGTAAATAAGTCGGGGCCCGTCGGGCTCGGGCTGAAATGCAGGCCTCTAAGATGAGGTGAGATTTGTATTAAATGGATGTTTTATCCAGCTGATGTGGGCGTTTTCATAGCTTGCCTCAACATTAGTGTTTGAATAGTGCGCACTTTCAGTGGGCATGGTCACTTTACGCTATAATTAGGTGAAAGGAAAAAGACTGACTTCTCTCTCTTTACAGATTGCATCAACTGAGAATAGTTGTTTTTTTAATATAAATTACTTAATTTTAAAGAACAGAATTTCAGCTTCATAAAGAGAAATCTTTTGTGTCTCTATGACGAGTATTTACTGAGTTACAGTTCATTTTTTGGACGCATTTCAGAATAAAAAAATTTCAGAGAAAAGGCAAAATATGCATCATGTTTATTTTGCTTTGTTTTTATTGTGAGTATCCACCAAAAAAAATCTGTTGAGAAAAGCAACTGATACAGGCCACATTTAAGGGTCAAGTGAATATCCTAGCAAAAAAACAAACAAACAAAAAAATGCATTTGAGCAGATAATCATATTTGGCCCACATTCAGCTGCGATGTGAACGTAACCTTAATTTAACGCATATCCGTATTTTCTGGTGCCATTTTAAATTGCCAAGCCATTTGAAATGCTTCCCACAAAAAGAACATGAATAAGTTCTCACATATGCATGACTTTTCATATGTATTTTTAAGTGTGATGGCAAAAGAAATTCTTTATGACACCGATCACAATTAAATGATCTTCCACTAGAGTGGATGAGCAGATGATTTCTAAAATTGCTATTTTTTGTAAACCTCTTGCCACACTCTAAACACTGCATTTTCTTTCCAGAATGAGTTTGCAAACTAAGTTTTAGGTCTCTTTGACATGTGAAACTCTTCTTCCGCTGAAGACGGGTGAAGGGCTTATCTCCAGAGTGAACTCTCAAGTGATCCTTAAGGGTTGTTTTGAATCGGAACATTTTTCCACACTGGGGGCATTTATAAGGCTTCGTTCTGTTGTGTCCAAATGCAAGATGCCTGTTAAGGCTTTTAAGGCTACGGCAACATCTTCCACACTCATGACATATGAAACAGTTCCCTGTTAAGTGAAGCCTTGTGTGCCGAGTAAGAGTTGCTTGACGTCTGAAACTCCTTCCACACTGATCACATGTGAATGGCCTCACTCCAGTGTGACGGTTCATGTGATATTGAAGATTTTGCTCCCGTGCGAAGCCCTTCCCACACAGTTTGCAAGTGAAGGGACTCTTTCCAGTGTGACTTTTCATGTGGGCATTAAGGGAATTTTTATATCTGAAACTTTGTCCACACTGAGGACATTTGTAAGGCTTCTCTCCGCTATGAATTCTCATGTGGATTTTAAGGTATCCTTTTTCAGTGAAACCTCTTCCACACTGATCACATTCAAAACAGTTCTCTTTTGAGTGAATCTTTGTGTGCAGAGTAAGGGTTGCTTGACGTCTGAAAGTCTTTCCACACTGATCACATGCGAATGGCTTCTCTCCAGTGTGACGGTTCATGTGATATTGAAGATTTTGCTCCCGTGTGAAGCCCTTCCCACACAGTTTGCAAGTGAAGGGACTCTTTCCAGTGTGACTTTTCATGTGGGCATTAAGGGAATTTTTATATCTGAAACTTTGTCCACACTGAGGGCATGTGTAAGGCTTCTCTCCGCTATGAATTCTCATGTGGATTTTAAGGTATCCTTTTTCAATGAAACCTCTTCCACACTGATCACATTCAAAACAGTTCTCTCTTGAGTGAATCTTCATGTGGTTATTAAGGTTTTGTTTACGGCTAAAACTCTTTCCACACTGATCACATCTGAATGGCTTCTCTCCACAGTGAATGTACATGTGATATTTAAGGTTTAGTGCTACCGTGAAACACTTTCCACACAGTTTGCAAATGTAAGGCTTCTCTCCGGTGTGAATTCTCATGTGCCTGGCAAGGGCTCCTTTATGAGAGAAACTCTTTCCACAATTTTGGCAAGTGTAAGGCTTCTTTTCATCGTGAATTCCCATGTGGACTTTAAGGTTTCCTTTTTGAGTAAAACTCTTTCCACAATGTTGGCAAGTGAAAGGCTTCTCTTCATTGTGGATTCTCATGTGGACTCTAAGGTCTTCAGGTTTATTGAAACCCGTTCCACACTCAAAGCAGGAGAAAGCATTCTCTCCATTGTGGATTCTCATGTGGACTCGGAGGTCTTCGGGTTGATTGAAACCCGTTCCACACTCCAAGCAGGTGAAAAAAAATCCAGTTCCTGTTTTCTGAGATTTTTTTTGTGCAGAAGTCCTTTCAATTTGCGAGGAACTACATGATTTTTCTTCTCGCGCTTTGAAAGCATTGTTTCTCTCATACTGATCTTTCTCTTCCATTTCATTCAGGATTTCACCCTCCTCTTTCAGTGGCATTTCTCGAGTTATGAGAGCATTATGTTTCTCTTCCATTTCCATCAGGACTTCACTCTCATCTTTCAGTGGCATTTCTCCATTGTGGATTCTCAAGTGGACTCGAAGGTCTTCGGGTTGATTGAAACCCATTCCACACTCAAAGCAGGTGAAAATAAATCCAGCTCCAGTCTTCTTAGCTCCTTTTCGTGAGTAAGTCTTTCCAGTTTGTGAGGAACTAAATGATTTTTCTTCTCGTGCTTTGAAAGCATTGTTTCTCTCATACTGATCTTTCTCTTCCATTTCATTAAGGATTTCACTCTCCTCTTTCAGTGGCATCAGGCCTAAGGCAAAAAACAAACAAATTCAAGTTAACCCCAGTTTAATGGGACAAAGCAACAGACATCAAAATATATAGACATGCAAAACATCAAAAACCAAACTAGGGCATCAAACCCAAAAACATGTATGCTAGATCCCATAGCATCTAAGCTACTGAAAGAGGCATTTTCTTTAATATCAGAACCTCTTCTCAATTGTCAACTCTTCACTTTATTTCGGAGACGTCGTAAAAACATTTAAAATGGCAGTTATCACACCCCTTACCAAAAAAACAAAACAACATTTTTGCCCAGGGGGACTTGTTAATTAGAGACAGATCTTAAATCTGACATTGATGTCTACAGTATAAGAAAAATATTCTCTCCTCTATAAGTCATGCAAAGTAATCGTATGTGTGAAAAATTCAGCCAGTATTTAAGCCTTATTGCAGCACAAAAACTGACAGGGCTCAAAAGTGTCACGTATTGAGCGTGACAGTCACTCATTTTGGTCTTTTGGAATCAGACAGGAATCAAGCGCATCTCCCCTGCTTTTAATCGAGCCTGCCACTTATCAGTCAATCAAAAAAAGGAAAGGGCTACACAATTAGCCAATCAGAAAACAGCACTATTGTATCTGGGTAAGATTTAACGCAACAACCAATTTAAAAAAGCATTTACTGGAATTGTTGAGGTGATTCTGCAACAACAGGTGTGTTCGACTTCATGCAGCTCTGCGCAGACCGATCGACGGCTGACTTGAAACAGTGTATGCTGGTCAGAAATTTTAGCTGTGTCCCAATGTGAAGGCTGCATCCTTCGAAGGACCCAGCCTACGAAGGACACTCAAGACCCAGCCGACCCACCCTTCGGAGGACACTCCGAGTGTAGCCTTCGTGGGATTTCCTAATTGCGCAACCAGGTGTTCCCTATTACCGCTCCTGGCACCAAGCAACAGTGCGAGAGTACAGCTGCCACCCTGATCATTCATTTAATAAAATTGAGTAAACAGCTATGGAGACAGAATGTCTTTTTTTGTTTTATATTTTACTGGAGGACATGGGAGCAGGTCCTGAAAAAAAAAAAAAAAAAAAAAAAATCACACAAGCTCAAACAATCCTTTCAGCTGTGCAACTGAAGAAAGTTCAACACTCTTCAGCAATAAAACAAATAAGAAAACATTTTGCTTATTAGTAGAAATACTGAATGTTTTTGTGCAAATGAGTGAGTAAAAATGCCAGTTTACATTTAGTCTACTCTAAAACATTTAGTCCTGTTTACAAAGCACACACAACACCTCTGCATGATATCTCTCGACATGGGGACAGAAGAGCTGTCAGTCAATACACGGGAAAACTAAGTAACTTGCATTATTTACTTAAATATCTGATATTTTTTTGTAAATTCAAAAGTAATTCCTTACTTTACCAGTTTCTTGAAAAAAGTTATCTGCATAACTCATGATACTCGTATTGCATTCCACCAATATTGATCTAGGCTACGTTCACACTGCAGGGCTTAATGCTCAATTCCGATTTTTTGAAAAAATTAGATTTTTTTTGCAAGGCCGTTCACATTTCCAATTAAATGCGACCTTTTGTGATCTCCTGTGTGAACGTGAAATGACCCAGAAGTGACCCGCATCCGCAGAAGAGTAATCAACGGTCAACGACGTCAATTATTTTATCGACGAGCAAAGTTTGCACATAAATGTACGATTTTTCCGATCCTCACAGACCTAGTCATAAAACCCGTTTAATTGATAGTGCGTGTCTTCGTCGCTCCTTGCTTTGTCACCGGCGGCCGCGGTGCGACACTGGTGGCTGGTGTTGCCAGATTGGGTGTTTTTTCGCTACATTTTAAGGCATGTTTACATGTGTTTTAGCCAGGTTTTCGCCTGGAAGGCTCTATAAAAATCTGGCACCCTACTGTACGAAGTTAAACTGACAGAGACCGCACGTTCACAGACACCAGAATGAACGTGTTCACAGTAATGTTCATCAGGCAGTAATACAGTACGTTTATTTTGGGCGAACGTGAACTGTCACTGATCTATAATTTTTGACGTTTATAACACGAGTGAATCTTTAAAAATATCAGGGTAGCTACTCACCAACAGCGGAACAAGAGGATAATATGTCTTATCTTCTGAAATATTCAGAGATGTGTCTTTTTCTTCATATAATAGCGCTCCAATATGACCGTTGTTGATGAGGAGCTTAATATGATCACCGTACCTACCCATTAAAACCATTGTAGGCACGTTTACATTTAAACACAAGTAGGCGGAGGTGTGACAAATATGCAGAGTGAACACACGTTCTTTGAAAGGGACTTCCGTATAGGGTTAATTATACGCTGATTTCACGCAGCCGCCATTATGAAATCGAAAGCGAGGCTCCGGTGGGAAGAACCCCGGAAGTACAGATAAACAATAATGCCTTGGACTACCAACCTGAAGCTGCTGCCGCGATTTACACTATTGGATGTTAATATTCAATATAGGATAAGTATTTAGTTCATTCCTGCTTCTTTTTTTAATTTCTGAATTATATATAAAAAATTATTTTTAATTTATAAATTAATTTCACTGTATAGTTTATAGTATGAAAGAAATGTATGTACATTTTTAGAAGAACTAATTTCTATATTAATCACATCAAAGGCGACAGTTCCGGTTTTCTTCCCACCAGAGCGATTTGAAAATGGCGGCAGCATGAAATCAGCGTATTATAATATAAGCGTAATATTTTTTTTTTCTAATATATTGCGTAACATAACAACGGATGCCCAACTTTGACTGACCCATGTCAAATAAAACCACTTTAAATGGGACACATGATATTCTTCATTAATAACATTCATTTCTGTGTAAATAACATTTTAATAAAGATGAAATTAGAGTTCAGCTTTGAGAATGAAACCAACCTGTTTGTTCCTCAGTTTCTTCTTGTTTCACACTGAATACTTCTTCAATCTTTATTTCTCCACTCTCCTCTTTAATAAACGCCATCTTTATAACAGTGTCACAGTTGCTTCACCAGGAGTTTTTCCTCTGTTTCGACACTCTGTCAAGTTAAAGATGAGAATAATTAGCAGAATGAAAAATAAATCCAAATTAAATCTCTGTGTGTTTCTCAATCAGCTTCTTATTAATCAGTTCATTGGATACGGTCAACAGTAATGGCTTTAAATTACATGATTAGCCAAAACAAACTCAAAACGAACACTAGATTTGCAGACACTATGTATGTAGTTGTATTTAATGATTTGTAGATTTCATAAAACATACAAACAAAAACTAACTAGCACAAGAAAAAAAAACTAATAATTAAACAGACACCTACAATTTTTTTGTATTTAATGACTTTAATCAATTCATTCATTTAAATAATCTTGTTACTTGTTAATAAAAGTTGTCAGTGTGTTCTCGTTGCATTTGTACTGCATTTACCCGTCTACATCCTATGTCATCTTCAGCATGTGATGATTCAAGCAGTTCAAATCACCGAATCGTTTTGCTAGACTTATTTGGTTCATTTGACGTGGAGTTTTGAAAAGTTGTTTCTTTATCGTTATTGCCAGTTCCCAAATTCGTGTTTACGATAAACTGATTCATGGGGACCAAAACGAGAAACATCATTGTGTGTAGTGTGTGCTGTGTAGCTTGTTAGCTGTTTTAATGTTCATCTTTTATGTTTGATTCAATGAGCTCGGCTACAAAAATTCCTATGTACCTGTATAGCTGTACCTGTACAAATGGCAAATAAAGCTTTAACTAACTTAACTTTTCTTTTAACGTTACTCAAATGTGGACATTTGCTACTGACAAACAAAACGTTCATTAATGTTAGACAAGCAATGCAATATTACATTAAATAATAATTCATACATTTTTGATCGTTAGTAAAACCTATACATTTGATTGAACGATTAGCATAGATTTAAACGCTTTACATGCTTGAAAACACAAACCTTTCTTCAGCCAGAATTAGAACAAACGGATGGATGAAGCGGCGCAGCCTTATGACGTCACATCACCGACCAAAATAAAAGTCCTACTTTAAAGTTTAATGATAGCTGGCAATATATATATATATATATATATATATATATTTATATATCATTTTTATCAAGCTTGTATATTTAAGTTCAGTAATTTCACTTAAATGGCAATGAAGATTACCTATTAATTGTCATTTAAGTGAAATTACTGAACTTAAATATACAAGCTTGATAAAAATGATCATTTTAGAAGAAAATTTCAAATGGCACTTAGAAGCTTTTGCATCTGAACTCTTTATATATATATATATATATATATATATATATATACACAATAAAGAAAAAAATATTATATATAATAAAGTAATAATTGTATACCTAACTCTTAAATCTTGTTTCTTTTAAATTTGTATCTTTTAACTATATAAACAGTATAAACACCCTTGAATCTTTATTTAACTAAATCTGCGTGACGTCTGAGTAATATAGCTCTTAGTGCCTCTAAGTTGTTATATTTAATATATTTAAAACTGTAAGCATTTGTCGGAAAATAATTGGTACTGATCTGAATAGCATTGAGCATACGCATAAGGTCAGAGCTACACAGAGGGCAATGGCCATTCTGGCTAACACCACTCACCCACTACACTCAGAGTTCTGCCTCCTACCATCAGGAAGGAGGTATACCTACCGAAAATGTGCCAGATCCAATAGATATTTGAAATCATTTGTACCATTAGCTGTTGGGTTTCTCAACAAACTATAGGACATGTTATTTATGTTGTTTTTTTTTATCTATTTATTATCTCATGTTTTTATCTGTTTTTGGGTAAATGTGTATGTGTTGGCTACCTGTTGTGAACTAAATTGCCCCTTGGGGACATTAAAGATATTTCAACTTTCAACTTCAATTCTCATAACAACCACACTTAGAGAAACAACTGTTTAAAATTGATAAAATCTGGCATAATACTGATTCATGTTTTCCAATGTTATTAAATGACTGACTGAAGAATGTCCAGTTCTGATATTTTGCTATCTTTATCTCCAAAACTTATTTTGTGTACACAGTCTTCTACAAGTTCTGTATTAAATTACAATGGGGAAAAAAATATCCCACTTTTTCCACAATATCGTTGCAAAAAAAACAACAACAGAAAAACAACAAACATTTGCTTTTTAACATTAGTTAATTAAACAAAGAGGAATATTTTATTATTACAATGGTAAGGTGGCCGAGAGAGCTCAACGCACTGCAACTGAAGAAAACAGATGCCAATAGAAAAACACTTGCAAATTAATAAAACATGGATGTGTGCTCCAAATACTCACAACACAACCAAATACAGAAACGCGCTGCAAATAGCACAGAACACATCGGAAATATTTTCAGGGGACCAATAGTATCAACAAATGCTTATAATAATATATTATAATTAACCATATATGTTCCCTAAATAAACCACACACTCATTTTGTTAACTTTTTCTATATATTTTACCTGGTAATCTACAGATTTAAGATAAGGATCCAGGATCACTGGAACACACAAGCCCCCTCGCCACGCCAAGGCCAGACCACAGAGGGAGTGAGGTTGCTGTGAGGTGGCAGCCCCACCAACCGACTATCCTGCGGAGGGCTAACAACCCACCCAGGAGAAATTCTTTTGTTACAAAACCGATCAGAGATAGTAGCCGTACCGCCCAACACGATAACGGACCCCAGCCTGCCCCAGACCAACGAGTACAGATCAACCTTCGTCGCAGGACCCGAGTCGCCACTTGGAATGTCCAGACACTCCTCCGCCCTGGAGCTGCTACCCTGCTGTCCCGTGAGCTCTGCCGCTATAACATCTCCTTGGCAGGGCTCTGCGAAGTTCGATGGCACAGCAATGGTGAAACAACAGCAGGCGACCATTGCTATATCTGGAGTGGCCCCGAGAGACGGACAGGCCTCTATGGCGTGGCACTTGCCATCCCAAAGGCCCTCCGCAAGTCCCTTATCAACTGGACACCTCTGAGCGACAGACTACTGTCTACCCGCTTTCTTCATCAACACGGCAAGATGACAGTAATCGTTGCTTATGCCCCTACCGATGTTGCTGATGAGGAAGTAAAGGATGCCTTCTTCGACCAACTCCATCAGGCTGTTGCCCAAGCCTCACCACATGACATTACCATCATCCTCATCGATGCCAACTCCACTCTGTCTAGCAGTGATCGGCTCACAGGCTCACCTATCGGCACAACCTTTGCTGACAGGTCTACAAACGACAATGGTAACCGCCTTCTCCTTCTCTGCCGCCACAACAACCTCTGTGTTGCCGATACTTGGTTTCCCCGGAAGAAAATCCACCACTGGACATGGTACAGCCCAGATGGCAGAACTAGGAAAGCGCTGGACCATATCCTCATCTCACGACGCTGGATGCCGTTTGTCACCAACTGCCGTGTGTACAGAGGAGCAGAACTAGGCAATACAGACCATCGATTGCTGGTGGCCCAGCTCAAGTTAAAGCTGCGAGCCAACATGCACGCCAAGACTCAGCCTCACCTGGACTCCTCCCAACTCAGTAATCCAAACATCGCCACAGACTTCAACCGTGCCACCCGCCGCATCTTTGACAATCTGGCTACCGACAAGGTGAAAGACTGGCAGATCTTTAAGCACACAATGTCTTCGGATGCATTCGATCTTCCCCGAAAAAGCCCTGGATATCGGAGAGAACATTCAAAATTATCGACCGGCAGCGTGAGGCCCGACTTCGAGGTGATATGACTGAGTATCATCGACTGAACCGCCAGCGCAATGTGGCTATAGCTGAGGATAGAGAGAAGTTCTGGCAAGCAAAAGCGAATCACCTAGAGTCTGCGGCCAATAACAACAATTTGAGCCGTGACTTCAGTCTGTTGCACCAAGCTCGTAATGGCCCACGCATAAAGTCAGCCCAGGTGAAAGATTCCGATCTTATAACCACTGAAGAAAACTGCCTCAAACGCTGGAAAGAGCACTTCAGTCTCCTTCTGCATCACGGCACCCCCCCTATTGGTACCGCCATCTTATCGCCCGCTAATGCTGCAGCCCTTAGTACTGTCTACAATACTGACCGTATCACACCTGAGGAAGTCAGAGCCACTTTGAAAAAAGTTAACAACAAAAAAGCCCCCGGCATCTGTGGAATAACTGCTGAGATGCTAAAATCCGGGGGTGAAACCATCGTCCAGTGGCTCACCCACATTTTCAATGAGGTGTGGGACACAGAGAGGCTCCCCAGCGACTGGACCAGAGGAGTCATCCTGCCCTTCTGGAAACGCAAAGGTGACAGGTTAGTCTGCGGCAATTACAGAGGCATTACCCTTCTTTCCATCCCCGGCAAGCTCTTTACCAGGATCTTGCTCACTCGTGCTCTCCCAGCCATCAGAAGCAGCCGCCGTCCCCAGCAGGCTGGCTTCATGCCTCAGCGCTCCACAACAGACCAAATCTCCGCAATTCGCTTGCTTATAGAGAAGACCTATGAATTCCGTAAAGATCGCCATCTTTACATTGGGTTCATAGACTTGAAGGCTGCCTTTAACACTGTCCGCCACTCTTCACTGTGGAGTATCCTACATGCTCTTGGAGCACCACCCAAGATTGTTGCCCTGCTTAAGCTGTGTCCGCATCAATGGCAAAGACTCAGACTGGTTTTCCATCTCTAGCAGCGTTCGACAGGGCTGTGTGGCTGCCCCTGACCTTTTCAACTGCATCATTGACCATCTGATGTCAGGGTTTGTGAACGGCCCCCCGGAGTGGCCCTCGGCAGCCACCATCTGACTGACCTGGAGTACGCTGACGATACCATCCTGCTCAGCACGTCCCTCAGCCAGCTGAGAGATACTCTGGGCATATACAGTGAGGAGGCTGAGAAGCTTGGCCTCCAAGTGAGCTGGACAAAAACCAAGTACATGTACATCGGTGATGGACCGCATCCAACCCCCCTGCGGTTTGGCAATGATATTGTAGAACCTGTCAGCAATTTTGTACATCTGGGATCCCTAGTGACAAACAACGGGGACCTAAAACCAGAGATTACCCACAGAAGAGCCCTGGCTGCGTCAGCCCTGCAGTCTCTCTGGAAACCACTCTGGCAGCACCAAACCATCTCCCGCAGGACAAAGCTCCGGATTTATAACTTAGCAGTACTCTCCATCCTGCTCTATGGCTCTGAGACCTGGCCCTTAAATAAGACACTGGCCGCAAGACTTGATAGCTTTGATAGCAGGGCCCTCAGGACCATAGATAACATCAGGTGGCCCCAGCGGGTTTCCAATCAAGTGCTTAGAGCCCGCACGTGCCAGCCCAGAGCATATTGTCTGGCTGCGCAACGCCGCACCCGCTGGCTTGGCCACGTCCTCTGTCTCCCTCCTGACCATCCGACAAGAGCCATTTTCCAGTTTGATCCGAGAGTTGCAGGCTGGAGACGACCACGAGGTAAGCCCTGCTCCCGATGGCTTGACGTCCTTGCGGGTGACCTCCAACAGCACGGAGTCACTATGGAGGATGCAGAGCAGCCTGGGATGTAAACCCATACCCAATGCAGGAGCTTAATACATATAATAAATATATGTTGAATTTAAAGAGAACTGTCCAATATCATCAACAAATGCTTATTATAATATAATTACACCATATATTTCCCTAAATAAACCATACATACACCATATTTTTGTTAACTGTTTCTATATATTTTTACCTGGAAATCCAGGGCATGGAAAAGTGCCTGAAAAATCATGTATGCAGCCATTTTTAAAAAGGTGTTTGTAATCTGGGAGGAGTAATAAGGAGGAGCAAAGAGAGAAAATATAATGATTTAAGTGCTAATTGGCTACCACAAGGTATAAGAAATGAGTGCAGACCATTGTAAGATCAGATGGCCAGCTGGCATCTCACTTTGTTGAACTGCTCAATAAAGTTACTTCTTCTGAGACCCGAAACCTCGACTCTGAGCAATTTCTTCAAGACCTGAACCAGACT